AATGGTTGCGGGGCCGCCGCCAGGCTGGACTCCAAGCCGGGGGGCCGCCAGCCCCGGGCCGGGGGGCCCGGCTCTCGGGAAGCCCCTCCCGCCTCGGCGAAGCCGGCTCCCAAGGCTTGGGAGGCGACGAGGCCGCGGATGCCGGACCCAGGAGTCCCGCCGCGGTCGCGCAGAAACCCTTCGAGCAGCGACCGGGCTGAGGGGGACGACCCGGGAGGCCGAGGGCTGGGGCCCCAGGTGTCCGCGGCCGGCTTCTTCGGCGACCCGCCGCCGCCCGGAGCGCCCCGACCCGGGGAGGAGTTCCCGAATCCCGCCGGCCCCGCGCGTCTTGGGGCGTGGACGCAGAACCCTTGTAGCTGAAAGGAATAATCAAATATTTATAAGATTTCCTGCAAGACGCTTCACAATAGAATATACTTCTTATCTGGTCGGAAATTTGCCAAAAGGCCATAAATAATTGAGACAGCTGTGATTAACCTTCCAGAAACCGTACCAGAATTCGCAATTAAAACATTTAATTGAATGGTCTCATTTGGCCCCCTCGTCCGGGAGGAGAGAGGGTTTGACTGACAAACCCGGCTCCACCCGGCTGGGGAGCCTGCGAGGATCGTGCCTGGGGGCTTCTGGGTGACTCCCGACCCGCGCCGTGTCTGTAGGTCTCAAGTTCCCTCCTTTAATGCTCGTTTCTTCGGCCGGAGTGATTTAAGCTCTAACTCCCCTGGGTTTTACGACTTCTAAACTCTCCTGAGATGAGAAAGTGCGGCGCGCAGGTGAGTGCAGACACATCTTGTTCAAATCTGCAGGGACGAGTGCCACCCACTGGCTTTCTCCTGGGGCGGGGGCCTCTTCCCGGGTCTCCCGAGGCTCAGGGGCCACAGGAGGACCCCCTGGGCCGAAGCGAAAAGCCTCTGCTAGGTCCAGCCTGCAAAGCTGACGATGCGACTTTTCCCCGGGGTGAAGGCTCAGATTTGAGCCAAATAGGAAAAAGCCGCCAGAGGCCGGTGGGCAGCAACGTTTGAAGGCCCCACGCCGTTGCCCAACCGAATGTCCCGCTCTAGGCGGCAGCTCCCTTTCTCGGGAGCTCTACAGGGCTGTCACCCAGGACGCCCAGCAGGATGTAGGAGCCACAGCTTCCTGCTGAGTTCCGGAGTCTCTTCCTCCCTCCCGGCAGTCGGGGGCGCTGTGACCCTGAACCCTGAACCTGGCCCCAGTTGAACCTAGGTCCGAACTTCGCCTCCTATACAATCTTTCCTTCCTTCCCCTGCTGGGAAAACCAACTGGGACATTTCTTCCAGAGCTCCTTGCCACGCTTTCTAAATTCCTGGGTCTCAGTAATCTGGGGAGGGATTACTCGTCACCGTCCCTCTTCTTCCACTTCCCACTCCCTGTTCCCATGCTCTGAACACTAGGTTCTCCTGCCTTCCACACTGAAACCATCCCCTTAAATATCCTGTTTCCCACTGGGGAAACTCTCAGCCTTCCTGAACTCCTGCCCCTCCGCTCCCTCCCGGACCCACTCCCCCACCAGCCGCTGACCTTCTTGACCAGGCCGTGTCCTGATCCAAAAGATGGACTCACCTAGCACTCCAGCCTTTCTAGGCACGATTTCTGCCAGGCGCCAAACTTGCTTTATAAATTGAACCACTCCATACCCAACTCCACATCTGGATCCCAATGGAGTATTTCTTTGTGCCCTTTCTCCCATTACTGCTCTCAGTCTAGCTCCATTTATCTGCATCTTCCATGCACAGTCTCCATCAACAAGGTGCTAGTCTGTAATTGGTCACACAGTCCTCGCTTTTGCACTGAATCCCAGTATCTTGAAGAAAGTTTACCTTTACATCAATCAGACCCATATTTAAAAGCCTCTAATCTTCCCTGCATCAGCTTAATAAACTCTCTGAATTTCCTGCTTTTATCACAACTCCATTGGGAACTTCTCTGCAAATAGTTTATTACTCATTCATTGTTTTCTCTCTCCAGTACGCTGCTATTCAGCTAATTCTCTTGCTCTCTTTGGTGAACACTTGTATGGGAAAACACAGCTAACAATGTGTGCCAATTTATGCCCCACCACCACCACCACAGCAGAATCTCACATTTTCTAGAGAACAATCTTAGACAATGTCTCGTTTAAATCCAGTTTGCTGCTCTGACAAAACTAAGCTTTAAGCTATTCCACAGTCAACACTGAAAAGTTGATTTCTGTTCCACAACCCATTAAAAATTAAAGTTCAGTGGGAATACTGCCACAGGGACTGAATTTCCCAGAATTATGGAGTCTTTCAATATGTATTAAATTTGTGGCATAATAGCCATAAACTTTTCCATCTCTGGGAATCCCTTCCCTGCCTCAATTACATAGAGCTATTCAAATTATTAGATAAATCTTCTGAGAATATCTTATTCTAAAGTGAATCTGTTAAATAACTAACTACGGCTTCCCATCTCTGGCCTCTTTGATTGAACTGGCTTTTTTACTACACAACTGGGTATCTCATTTTAAAAGTTCAGTAAGCATAAAATAAAACACTTGTAATAGTTACAGGTAATTTAATTTATAAAGAAATCCCTACTGTATTGCATGAGATGTTTAAAGATGACCTGGGAACCACTAAAACTGATATTTATTAATGTAACTAACCAACCATAGATCTGACACCTCACCGGGGACCGCTGTAATAAGGCTTCAAAGTCAAACCCTTTTGCTGGAAATCCATATGGAAAACGATGTGCCCCTTTGGGTGGTCAGCAACAAACCAGGAGAAGAGCTTGCGATGTTTTATACAGCAATACAGATAGATAAAGGCATCCTAACACACAATAACCACTTTGGCCTGAGTAATTTCCCAATATTCAGAAACAGACACACTCATATGAATATAAAAAAAGAGGAGTTAGATTTTTGATCTATGGCAAGGGAAGAGATGACTGTAATTAGATAGGCAGGTGTTTCCATTTGTAGCATTAAAAATGCTGCAGTCTGTCAAAAGCAAAATTGCAAAGCTAATTAACAACCATTAATGAATTTTTAAAATTCAAGAACCTGTTATTTCCTTTTTAAAAATGACAAAACCCTATATTCCAGATAAATCAAAAGTTTTCCAAAGTAAGATTCCTTGGGAGTTTAGCCTCCTACCCAATGGCCAGCCAGAAGGTAAAAGGAAGTATCTAGATTTCTGTTTGGGAGGGAATGGTCTAAGTTAAGGGAACGAAGCCTCAAAGAACCTAACCCTGATTATTAAAACCGTTTCTGGGCACTTAAGAGGTAAAGCTGGTCCTCATTAGCCCTACATATCTCTTCCCTTATCTCTAAGTTTGCAGCACCATTTCCTAAATCCTGAAGGGGAATGTTCTCTTTAATTTTTGTGCTCGCATCACCTTGACTTTCAGGAAGTAAAATATAAATGTGGCCCGATTTTCCCACCTCCTCCCATTTTCTTTCAATAATTGCCAGCCAGCTTCCAGCCTTCCATCTCTAACCGGGGGCAGTGGAGGAACCGCTGATGAATCCTGCCATCAGCTCTGCTGAAAAACCTACAGTGGCCTCTGGCTATCCAAGCAGCACATGGCTTCTTAAGAGAAGGCACGTCCTCTATCCGGCGACCACAGCTGCCTCTCAGACACATTTTTCCTTACCAGACACTACCTGAGCAAAGATGACAACCATCCCTTACTCAGTTAGGGCGTTGCCCTCTTTCAAAACAAATCCTGGACAAAGGATACTTGGTCTTTTAACTCAAGACAAGCAAACGGAAAGACAATGCCGGAGATTCTTCAAGAGCACTGGATTGACTGGTAGGCTGGCAGCTTCCTGAGTCTACCAAGGAAAGGCTGGTCTATGAAAAGCACTGTCCCAGGCTGCCAAAGGGTTAAATATTTGTGAAGGGTAAAACCTGAGCCTCCCGGTTTTTTTGTGCTTGCCCGGGGGCCTGCTGGAGATTCAGTATCTCTCTCGGTTATTTCCTGCGATCACTAAAGCCAGTTTTCAAGAAAACAAGTCGCAGGGGTTTGAAATGTCACACCAAGTGACCTGGGCACGGCATATCCAGGGGCCATTCCCAGCCCCCTCCCACCCGAGCCATCCCCCGCCCGCTGCATTTCGGGTCTGGAAAGAAAATAAACCAAGGACACGCCAGACTGGTTCTGGGTGGACTTATTTTCCCTGGCAGCCGCGATCCTAGCGGGGGTTTGTTGTGGCTCCTTCAGTGTATCGCTTGCAGGTGATGCCAAATGCAGATAAGGAGCCGCCGCGCGGCCTTCTCCTCTGTCTAGACGGGGGAATTAATAAATGCTTCGAGATTGATCACGGCTCGCGCATCCACTCTGGGGACAGTGGCGAGGATGAGCCGTCACGGCCCCCTGTTCGCCCCGGGGCCGTGCAGCTCGGCGACAGGGCCGCAGTGTCAGGCAGGCCGGCGAGGCACCGGGGTGTAGGGGTTCGGGACCCCAGACAGACGGGAAGAGAAGCGCAGGGAGGGTCCGAGTGCACCGGCGGAAAATGGAGCGAGGGTCCAGGCCCGGGCCTTGAGGGCCGCCAGGCTGGGTCCTGCTCCAGGAGCTGAGACAAGGCTGAGAGGGAACGACTCGCCCTCGCGAGCCGAACGGCCGCCATTGGAGCATCGCAGGTTTTCCGCCCGAACCGGGTCGCCTTACCCGCGCCGCGGGCTTCTGCGCTGAAACGCCAGGGTAGGGGGCGAGCAGGAGTGCGCCGGCTTCCGGGACGGCCTCGGCGCTCCTGCAGTTGGCCGGGCCTCGCGGGACCGCACGGGGCGCACGGAGCGCAGGGGCCTAGCCCCGCCCCC